GCACCTCTACAGCCTTACACAGACTCTTCAGGTTATTACATGAGCTAATGACTTTGAGGAGTTCACTCGTTTTTCAAGAGTCTTACAGTCCCATCATGCATGTACAGCATGCCTAGACCCAGGAGCCATCCATCCCACTCTGCACGATGGAAAGGCAAACCCTTCGGGTTGCATGTCTCAGCGTCCTCAAGCAGCAGTGGGATGCAACTGCACCTGTCTGCCTGCCAGGTCCATGAGAGTCTTCTCCTGGACCTGCACCCAGCGTGGGAACTATGTACATTATGTCAAAAGGGGGGGAAAATATATGTAATAGTATATATATGTATATGTTGCTGTTCTCTATCAAAACAAAAAAAACTTAAAGGGGATGACTCTAATGTTGGAGATGAACCTGTCTTTGGACAGCTACTACATTCCTGAATCTTTGGCCTCTGTGAAAGCTTTCCACTTCACCTAGATGGCAAAAGAGGAACATTTTCAGTCCTGAAGCCCTAAATTGACCCCTTTATTAGTGAAAAATGCTTTTTATACAGGATATACATTCCCATGAAATGAGATGGACTGTGAACACAGAGTTGTGCCCTCATTAAGGGACTGCACTCAACAATCCACAAGCATTTCCACTCTACTCATGGCCCCATAGCCCCTTTCCTCATGTTGCCCCTTTTGCCTCCCCATGGGGCCATGCTGTGTCTGCCTGACCCTTCTTGCATTGCTTGTGGGCAGGGTTGTAGCAGTTCATTGCTTCTGTAAGACTGGGAGGTCCTGGGTGTGCTAACCCCCATATCGGAGAATCACTGAATGGTTTGAGTTGGAAGGGACCTTAAAGATCAACTAGTTCCAACCCCCCCTGCCATGAGCAGGGACATTTTCCACTAGACCACGTTGCTCTGAGTTCCATCCAACTTGGCCTTGAACACTTCCAGGGATGAGCAATCTGTGTCAGTGCCTCAACACCCTAACAGGGAAGACTTTCTTCCTAATATCTAACCTAGACCTGCCCTCTGTCATTTAAAAGCCATTACCTCTTGTCTTGTAACTCCATGCCCTTGTCAAAAGTCCCTCTCCATCTCTCTTGTAGCCCCTTTAGGCCTTGGAAAAGTCTCTAAGGTGTCCCCATAACCTTCTTTTCTCCAGGCTGAAAAACCCCAACTAACAGCCTGTCTCCCTCCGTAGCAGAGGTCGTCCAGTCCTCTGAGCATCTTCTTGGCCTCCTCTGGACTCACTCCAACAGTTTGACATCTTTCCTGTGTTGAGAACCCCAGAAGTGGACACAGCACTTCAGATGGGGTCTCACCAGAGCAAAGTAGAGGGGCAGAAGTCCATTCCTCGACCTACTGGCCACAGTGCTTTTGATGCAGCCCAAGAGGCACTTGGCTTTCTGGGCTGCAAGTGCTTCTCCCCAGGGCTGCACTCTATTCATTCTCCACCCAGCCTGTGTCTGTGCCCCAAACTAGGTGCAGGACCTTGCACCTTGGCCTTCTTGAATTTCATGAGGTTTGCACAGACCCTCAGGCCTCTCAAAGTCCCTCTGGATGGCATCCCTTTCCTTCGGCATGTAGTCTATTGCTCTAGATGCTCTTTCAAAGGCCAGTTGCATGCCAGACCATCTCCAAGGGACACTGTCAGTGTGGTCTCACATGCTTTATGGCTTGAGATAAGAAGTCTTTTTTTTTTCTTGACTCCCAAAAAGACAATTCAGTTCTCACCAAAACAAGTTTCCCTTCAAAATGCAAAGGTGTAGCTTAAAGTACTTTGGGCTTATCTCCAGTCTGAAGAGTGGTGAGAAGGATTGTGACCAAGTCTCACAGTTCAGAGAAGGAAGCCCAGTGTTCTGGAGCAGGGGCTGCATCTTCCAGTGGGAGCAGTAAGGAACAACAGCTCAAGCCTTCAATACCTGATGCTGGTACCAAAACATGCTCCATTTGAAGATACAAGAGTGATGGGACATACTTGGTATCGTGTCTAGAGATAAGCAATGCCATGAGGACTCTGCAGCTGAAAAACATCCTGCGTGCTCAGCCCAAGGGGAGAGGAGCAAGACTAATTTGGCATCATGAGAAATGCCACAATGTTTGTTTCC